TCCCATTGCTCAAAAGCCTCAATTTTCTTGCAGTGTTTTGTCTGCCTACTTCAATCATAAATCTGAGGGAGCTGCATTTAAGTTGTGCATGCACATTGTCAGTTGTTGTGATGGGCATCTAGCTTTGTCAAATTGGAGTAACGAAACCATTTATCAATCTTGATCATGCTAAAAGAACTTGTATATTATATAATTTACCTGTGGGCCTTTGTTACCTCAATATTTCTTGTTATACCAAAGAAAATATTTTCCAAATGCAATGCACTTACAAGCCACTAACTAGCTAGATATATCAGAGGTCTATGTATATATTAATATATTACGGTATTGTTTAATCATACAGGAGCTGAATGTTCTCAATGTCACTAAGTTTTATTCACGGAGAATAAACTTCTTCTTAGTAGTAGTATGAAGGGCGCTAACAATTATTTTCACCACGTGTACATGAGTGTAAAGCGCAGAAAATAACGTGTATTACTTCAGACTTGTCTCCCACAGAAGGTGAGATGAAATGGGGTTTAACGTCACGTTCAAAATTATTTCATTTTTATAACGACTTGCATGCATGCGTGTTAGTCAAGTCAATCTACAACAAAATAGTACCGAACATCCAACTAATTGCAAAATAATTAATTTTAATTTCGATTTTCTTGTATGAGAATATATAGCACTTAACATATAGAAAATAAACAAAAGTCTGAACATGGGAAAGTCTTTAAAATTATGTTTTGCTTTGTCCAATCTCAGGGCTTTTTGCCCTCTTTTCGTTCTTCATTAAAACAAATATTTCTCTAGAGTTATTTGTTTGACATATGTACACTAGTATGATACCGAAGGCTATCTAAGACATGCATGATAATATTAGATGCGTTTGAAACAAATGTTATTGAGAAAAATTACTGTTTAAATGACAAAAATGACAAGTCCCCCTAAAAATTAAGAGAAAGCTGAAAATTATGTATGTGTGGCTGCTTGTACTAGTCCTGATTTCAGCCGCTTTAATAGTGCTTTTCCACTGAGATACCATGCCGTATGGATACCCTACTCAGACACAGTATACTGACATCAAGCCAAGCAGTCCTGTTGAGAGAGAGGTCTAGACAACTGTCAAACTGGAGGTTTTACGTCAAATGTTGGTACAGGTTTAATGGACGAGATGGCTGCAGCTGTTTGTCTTGTAAAGGCGGGTTAGCTCTTACGAATGAGTGAGTTTGGTTTTACGTCGCTTTTAGCAATATTCCAGCAATACCAAGACGGGGGACACTACAGATCGGCTTCGCATATTGTACACATGTGGTCTTTCGAACCCGGGTCTTTGGCGCGATGAGCGAACGCTTTAACCTCTAGGCTACCACAACCGCCCCTAGCTCCTAGCTTTTTTAACGTTTTTAAAGACAACCACCATCTAATAGGGTAAAGTTTGTGAGCTACTATGTGAATACAAGTTGACACCAAGACAATTTTAACATTTAGGGAACGGTCACCAGGCGACTATGCTTGTCGTAAGAGGCGACTGACGGGATCGGGTGATCAGGCTCGCTGACTTGGTTGATGCATGTCATTGTATTCCAATTGCGTGGATCGATGCTGATGCCGACAATCACTGGATTATCTGGTTCAGACGCGATTATTTACAGACCGCCGACATATAACTGGAATATTGCTGAGTGCGGCGTTAAACAACAAACAAACAAACAAAACAGTGACTGGCTTGAAGTACCGTTACATTTCGCTGATATACTCTGTGGGGTGTTTTAGCCCCTGGAATGAATAGCTGATAGGGTGTAGTAAGAGGCGACTAAGTGGATCGGGTGGTCAGGCTAAGTGACTTGGTTGATTTCAAGTTACCGTATCTCAGTTGCGTGTATCGATGATCATTGCGTCCAGCAAGGATCCAAGATTTATAAAAGGAAGGGAGGGGTCCAAAATACCAAAATCCTCTCTCAGTCAATTTTACTGCCTACAACATACATTTGGTTTGCAAAAGGGAGGGGGGCCCTTGGCCACCCCGGCCCTCCCTTGATCCGACCTCTGTCCCGATTCGACCACCATCATATAGCTGGGATATAACCACACAGTCAGAAAATAAACAACATACTACATCACTCTTTTGCTACTGACTCGAACCATTTTTTGTGATGTTTGTTGTTAAATGCGCAGTGAGCAACATGTCGAGTCTTTGCGGTGTAAATCACAAGCCAACGTTTAGATATTTAAGCGAGTGTGGTTTAATGCCGTTATAGCAATAGTCCACTCCAGCAATACTGCATGGTCCACAACGCGGAACACCAAAAATGGACGTCACAAGTTGTGTCCTTGTTGGGAATAGAACCCGTGTGTTCGGTGTGACAAAGCGATGCTCTCACCACTGTGCCACCCAATAGTCTCGATCCAGGTGATTAGGAAATAGCAAGGTCTTTACAAGGGAGAACATGGCAGTGTGATTAAGATTTTGCCGTTTGGAAATCATGGAACGATCGCAGCATGGTATACGAATACAGTGAATTGTCATCATTCTTGGAGCTCTCAGTCTCAGTATCGGATTCCATTGTGGAAACGACTCATAGAAAGTAATGTCGCTCAGTTGACACTGGCAGAAACCCGATACAGCCAAATAACATGCATGAACGCACGCAAACAGTTACCTCACGTTCTCCTCTCACTTGTGTTGTCACTATGTATACATGCCTGTAAGAGTTACTTCCCTTTGTAAAAAGTCTTTGCTTGTTAAAGCGGTTACTATAAACTTCGACACGCAAGCCTGTCGCTCGTGATCAGCGTCTGAGCCTACGGCTTAAGGCTGAATGTGCCCAATATATGAATTTTAGCAGTGCTGTCGTTTCACAGTGATTTTAACATCCATCTGGATATCGGTAACGCAGAAATTAGCAAAAATTATTAGCAGAAATTATATATATATATATATATATATAGAGAGAGAGAGAGAGAGAGAGAGAGAGAGAGAGAGAGAGAGAGAGAGAGAGAGAGAGAGAGAGAGAGAATCTCACCCGAGTGTCTTTTGATATCAAATATATCAACACGAGTTGATAAAAGTGGGAAAAACTCCGAGGCTTGCCGAGGATTTTTTTCACTTTTATCAACAAGTGTTGATATATTTGATATCAAAAGACACGAGGGTGAGATTTATTTATCATCCAACATCATTCTTCCACCTTTTTCAGTTTGTAGAAAGTTATAAGCATTGTCTTAGTGTAAACAGCTTCAGTAGCAGAGCCATTAGTGATGTCATTTGATTGTGACGTCATGGTAACCAATGACGTCACAATGGTCTGCAAAGAATTGTGATGCAATTTGATTGCAGCGATATCTACAGTATAGATATCGCTTGATCTCACCCAAGCGATATCTCCTGTGGGAGCCAGTTTTGGATAATATATATATATATATATATATATATATATATATATATATATTTGTTTTTGTCAGGATTTAAATATTTATATCAAACGCATTTTCCCCCAAGATTTTATGTCCAACCTTGGAATAGAATATGACATGGAATATCTCATGGTTTGTTCTGTTCAATAATTGAACGTGACAATTTCACTCACTCACTCACACGATCCGTCTTACAAGAAGTGCGACAATTATCAATGGTTCACGTTATCATGCCAGTGACAGTGAAGGAGAAGAATACCTACGGTCATTGGGCAATCCATTTTGTTTGTAATGTGTTTCTTATCTCTAATCTCAACCAACAAGAGACTGAGCTGGTGAAATAAAAATTGACACCAAGAATAAAATATAAACATTTTTTTTCACAAATCGTGTAAATTATTTTATGACATTTTAAAGTTTAGACTACTTGGTACCAGTCTTTTAATTAATTTATGTCGTAGATCTAGTCGCTTTGCTTCAGAAACGAACATTTAATGAAAATTACTGAATAATATCAAGCTGAACTGCTTTTTATGAATGTGCAATTATAGTAGTAGTTTTTTTTTATCACATCGGGACATAATTTTGTAAGGCGGTGGGGAAAATTTAACACGAAAACTTCTTTTTATTATTTCACTCGGGATAAAAAAAATTCTGGGCAGACGAGAGATGGGAAACTCAGACAAATATTCGGGCAGCCAAACTCCATGTCAGCGTGAGCCAAGACTCCAAGGTCAAATGAGCCACGTGATGTCTACAATGTACAATATTGTGACGTAGGAATGCATTGTCTGACGCTTCTTGAACGGTCGTTTATTCAGACAGCTGTTGATAAGCTGACAGTAGATCTACATGGATACTTCTTATCAAGACGCGTTCTGGGCACATTTTATTGTGTGGAGTTTAGCGCTATATAACACAATCATACTTACTGTTACTTTCTTCTTCTTCTTCTTAGGAGAAGTAGTAGTAGTACTAGTAGTTGTATCAGTAGTAGTTGTAGTAGTACTAGTACTAGTAGTTGTGGCAGTACATGTAGAAGTAGTTTTGTTTGTTTGTTGTTTAACGCCGCACTCAGCAATATTCCGGCTATATGACGGCGGTCTGTAAATAATCGAGACTGGACCAGACAATCCAGTGATTGACATCATGAGCATCGATCTACACAATTGGGATACAATGACATGCATCAACCAGCGCACCTGACCACCCGATCCCGTTAGCCGCCTCTTACGACAAGCACAGTCGCCTTTTACGGCAAGCATGGGTTGCTGAAGACCTATTTTACCCCGGATCTTTACGGCTCTCCCACTGAATGCAACGAACCTTGAATGACTGGGTGCGAGAATAATCTGTGACGAACGCAGCTTGGAAAACTGCGTAAAACATTCGCATATATAGTTTCTGGCCCGATTCAAATAAAATGACACTCATGACTCGCTGTTGGTGATAGAGAGATTGCGATGGCGGCGCCACCTCCGACACAGAGCCATTGTGGCGAACTGGTCCAGGGTATATAAACAGGAAAGAATGGGGATATTCTGCCCTGGATAATCGAGGATGTCATGACGTCAGTGAAAGATAGAATGCAAAATGAGAACATTTGGGGAACACATCGAATATTTTTTTTAACTTTATACACTTTAACAGTAAATAACGTACAATGTTTGATTTATAATTGCCATAATTTATACAGGCTATAAACGAGACATGTACAAGCACCATAGCCATGCAGTACGAGTATGAACACAAATGACTGGTAGACTATAGAACATCCCTGATTACGTATCAAAGCTCTATGACTAATAAATTAATTTTTTTCTTTGCCACGCTCAGCAATATTCAAGCTATATGACGGAGGTCTGTAGTCTGGACCAGACAATCAAGTGATTGACATCATGCGCATTTGGGATTCGATTCGATTTGGGGTTCGTCAGCGAACCTGACCACCCGATGCCGCTAGTGCCCTCTCACGACAAGCAGTGTCGCCTCTAAAGGCAAGCATGGGTTGCTGAAGACCTATTCTAACCTGGATTTCCACGGGTCCTAATAAATTAGTTCAGTTTCATGTTGTTTAACGCCGCAATCAGCATGCTCAGCAATACTCCAGCTTTATGACAGCAGTCTGTAAATAATCGAGTCTGGACCAGACAATCCAGTGATTGACATCATGAACATCGATCCACGCATTTGGGATACGATGACATGCATTAACCAAGTCAGCGAGCCTGTCCACCCGATCCCGTTAGTCGCCTCTTACGACAAGCAATTAGTGATACACTAGACAGGGTAATTGGGTAACCAACCGCTCGTGGTGATATTACATGATTTCGCTGTCAATCGATCCCCCGTTGTTGAGAACAATTGTTTTAAAGAATATAAGAATTAAGTCTCACGACTGCCTTGCGACGTTTTTATGGTGTGATAGTCACGTGAACGTGTGAAACTATTGGATTAAGTTCGAATATGGATGCCCCCAAGTGGGTTATCGAAGCTAGGGTTATGAATAATTTCAGTTCTTCAGTTAATGCGAATTCGTAGCTATGTACAGCGCCGGTTTTACTTTTCCCAACATAGATTCGCGATCACAGCGAATTTCATACTGATACGCCCAGCAAGCCAAAATAAGTGCATACTAGTGTCCATTGTTGGTCAGTGTATTTCCTCGTCTGACGAAAACACAGGATCAGACAGAGCAGCATCTGTGTCCGTGTCTGACTGAAAAATATCGGTGGAAACGTAGTCATGTTTTGAGTGATCTCCCCTTTTCGACGGTTCTGATTGGTCAGAATCCGATGGCTCATTGTCTGATCCTGTTTTCCGGTATTGGTAATCGTAGTCTTCATCATCAGAACTGGAACTGATGCTGCCATCTGAGCTGGAGCTTTCCGTGGAGTCACTGATGTGCGCGGAAGACGGCACATTTAGTGTTTCTTTGAAGCTGAGCAACGTTCGACTAGCGCGTCTTTCTTCCCTCCTTAACGCTTGTCTTTCTTTCCTTTCCTTCGCATCTTTCTTCTTTCTTTCAATTTCTTCCTCATCCTCGCTGGAATCCCTCTCCTCACTGACGTCACTGAGGTCGCCGTAATCAACGGGGTTCATGCATGCCGTGCACATGTTTTGGAGGTCGTCATAGCAGTTGATGCAGTACACCGCTTCACAGCCGGTACTGGCGCAGTCCAAGAAATTCTCGTCATCGTTTTTCTTCCCTTCCTTACCACACATCAGACAAATCTTTCGCTCATATCCAAGAAACTTCAGAAGCTTCCCAAATAACGGATACTGAGCCGCCAGACGGCACCGGATGCTGGCCTTTTGCACATCCTGGTCCTTCATGTACTTCCGACGTATCTGCCGTCGGGCAAATTTGAGAAAACCACCTCTTGTTTTGAGAATATGATTGTACAACCACACTGCCCTCTGTTCCTCTCGACCTGGGTGGTAGCACGCGGCAATCACGTGACGTAGGCGCATGGCGTAGGCCTCAAACACTGACATGAAGAAACACACGCTGTATATTATTGCTACAGTTTCATAGATGGCAAAGTTAGGCACCGCTGGATTTGGCAGACAGTGGGTGGTGTCTACATCAAGGTTAGCCTCGGACACAGGGTCAAGGACGGATATCAAGGCTCGGTACATGTCCGCCATTGCCCCCTCTCCCTGCACGTGTAACTTGGTGTGGGGTGGAATTGCCGAGTTGGTCTTGATCTCGAAGTGGGTTCTGATGAGAGACAGGACCCAGTACAAACCGTAGTCGCACATAAGGTAGAAGCAGCCGTGACTCGAAGCAAATATCCAGAACGCGACACCACTTGCCATCTTCATTTTTTCCGATCTGAGAAGTCTGGGAGAAGACGCACGGCCATACTTCCTCTTCTCCTCCGGCATTAATGGGAAGATGGTTTCCCTTCCTAACTCCTGACGACGATCGTCAATTTTATGAACATGCGCAGTGATGAATGCGTTATCGAAATGGCTCTTGTGGATGTATTTATATCTGAAACATACAAACAAACGTGACACCAGGTGCACCAACGGTTGCTACAGCAATACAGTGACACCACGTAAGTCTCCGGATTCTACGTACAGTGCATTGCCCGGATAAACACATGTCCAGATTGACAGACCATCGGCAATGTTCGTTCTATATTCGATCTGAGTTTGAGGGGTTTTACGAATTAACAGGTATCACTTTATGAGACTTATTTGTTTTTGCTAAGTTAATTATCTTAATATAATATCCGTATACAACTTTTACAATATCAGATTTTAGGCAGATATCGTTTGATTCAAGTATTATTAAAGGATATATTGATGAAAAAATATATTACATATTTCAGTGTGAAAGACTGAGTTTTCTGAAGGTGAGAAAAGTGATATTTTGGTTGCAGTGAACACAACACTTCATATTTCACTGCAGTGAACATCACACTTTGTCGGAACTATCGTCATACAAGAGTTACCTCCCCGCAAATTGCTTCCCATTATCGGCCCGTGCACAAACTGTTGACTTCCCTGTTATGTTAGTTCCACGTTGATACGGCAAAATAATAACAGATGGTCATTTATGGAGTTTATATTACTTCTTGCCGTTTGTTATTGTCTTGAAAATGTTTGGTTGTAAACTGTAAATTTCTCATTTAACTCGTCAATTGAGAGTGTTCGTTTTTTAACTTCACCAGGGTGTATTCCTTTGCTTCTAACAGCGGTATCGTGGGTTTGAAGAATATCTTTAGTTTATGTAGTATTGTATATTATCATATCCGAATGTATGATAAAGAATTTTAGTGACCTCAAATATTTGTTATTATGTTTGTTTATATTTTTTTAAGATTCTGCAAACACGGAACTACATTTTCAGTCACAATAACAAGGGGTGGTGAAACGTGCTTGTCTGCTAGGTAGGGAAAATGTTCGTAACAATGTTTTATTTTACTTCACAAAAAGTATATATAGTAAATAGGATATCACATGTGTCTCGTGAAATATGATGTTTCTATCATACCGTGACGAGGTTAAAGCGTTAGCTCGTCACGCCGAAGACCCGGGTTCGATTTCCGACATGGGTACAATGTGTGAAGCCCATTTCTGGTGTCCCCCGCCGTGATATGGCTGGAATATTGCTAAAAGCGGCGTAAAACTACTCACTCTCATATTGTGACAGGGCAGGGGGAGAGATATTTTCACACTTGACACATGAAATATCCTGTATTTTTATTATGACTATTCGCTTTCAATCCCTACCACAACCGTTCACTCGTAAACACTCCGCTCGGACAAAATATGATAAGAGGAAATTTCCGCAGCCCCAAATATATCCTCTTGTTTGGGGCAGTTTTTTTTATAGCTTATTTGGCATAAATTGTTTGGGTCGGTCGATATAAGTCGGGAAAAAATAAAATACTAAATGAAATATTGTTGAATATTATTCTAGCACATATATTGGATAATTAATATTTGAAACGTTAAAAGTTTACATTTTATTTTTGAATTAGTTTTTAGGTTGTATAGTTTTTCTAACGCAAAGAGTAGCACAGTTTTTTATAGCTTATTTGGCATAAATTGTTTGGGTCGGTCGACATAAGTCGGGGAAAAAATAAAATGCTAAATGAAATATGGTGAATATTATTCTAGCACATATATTGGATAATTAATATTTGAAACGTTAAAAGTTTACATTTTATTTTTGAATTAGTTTTTAGGTTGTATAGTTTTTCTAACGCAAAGATGAAATGATAGGGCAAATGTAAACGAAGTTAAAGCAATTAATTTTCTAATTTTGTCTTTAGCTCCGGTCGGCCGAATCTGTAGAAATAAGGAAATTGTGTCGCCTATTCACGTGGGTAACGATTTCAGCATTCGGAGTCACAAAATCATGTTTATTTGTTTGTTGTTTGACGCATCAACCAAGTCAGCGAGCCTGATGTTAAAGAGATCATCATACCTGTACATTACTGCCTTGATAACTACAAATGTCACCATGAAAGTCATGACGTGGTCGGCGGCGTTGATGAGGTCAGCGAGACCTTTCAGCGTTGCTTTGATCTCTACCATGATGTCTTCCTTGACTTCCTCATAGCTCTTGGACTGTGTCATACTAAGGTTGTAGTGGTAGTCGATCGTGACGTTGAAGTAGAACATAGCGTGGACGCTGTCTAGGATCTTAGTTGCGCGCTTCCCGATAGCTCGTCCCACGTGGTTCACGATCTCAGACGCCACAAGACAAAACAGTTCCCCTGCACGTGCAATATGACACAATTGCGCCACCCAATCCACAATTTCACAAATGAATTTAAACACCCCAAGTCTATTTCGACAGTCTTGTATAGCCTCGTCAAATGACTTCCTACACCTGCGATAGGGTGCGCCCATGTTGTGATTGCAGATATTGACAATAGATATAAGCCAGTCTAGGACTCTTCCAATTGCCTCGCCTATTTCCTCAATAGCTCGTTTTAGAGCCAGAAAAGCCTGCCGAATAGTCTCAGCAAATTGTCTAATTGCACGGAGCATGTCTCTGATGCCGTCTAGGAGAGCGGCGACAGGTGACATCGCCTCGTCTATAAGCTGTCTAGTTTCATTTTGTGCCAAACTTTGCCCGCAGGTGGCGCTCTCGGACATTACAAGGATGTTGTGGTTGAAGTTTGTGACTGGGTAGTTGAGTATGAGAATCGTGGCGTACATCAGGAGGAAGGAGCGACCTTTACTGGAACAAAACGACGGAAGCATCAACAGCACCACGCAGCGAAACGTATCCGAGAATGCCAGACCGAGGCTAAGCACCAAGCCGAGACTGGATGATATGATCGTGGAGGTCAGCAGGGGGAGATTCATCTGTAGGGCCATCAGTAGATACAACAGAAAGGACAACACGATGCCGCTGAAGAAACCGAGGAAATTCTTCAGACATTCATTTTCGTAGGTGTCTGCAGCGAACATCCGCCCACAGCATGATATTGGGATTTTTTTTAACCTTGGACGTGACGGTTTAATGCAGCACGGGCAAAATGCCTTACAGCACATTTGCTTTAGTCCGCCCATGCAGCTGATGTAGCAGTCCTCATACCATGGCCGGATTGGTGGAAGTCCCGCCATTTCCCGAAGAGCATTCTCTTTAGCTCGAGCAAGTCTTCCGAGAGCGGCCTTCACCTTGAAGGCCTGTATAATCTTCTGCGCCTGCGCCATTTTCGTGCTCTTCAGTTTTCGCGTTCTATTTTGAAGAGGTTAACGTAAAAACACATCTAAAGACTGCTACACAGTAAACGTAAGCGTGAACGTTCAGCTGTATTATTTAATGTGACGTCAGGATTATCGTATGACGTCACCATGACGTCATGCATTGTGATTGAATTGCGCCGAATATATCGATGACGTCATGGAATGATGATACCGAATCCCACTGTATTATTTCAATACTGACGTATCCTTCCCAAGATCCTGATAGGGGAAAGTTATCAATTTTAATATATTCATTAAATCTTACTAAAGGCTTTGTTTAGCGGCAATAAGATGTTATTTTATTGAGATTGGACGTGAGATTATGCGGTCGCGTGGGGCCTTACCATCTCTAACTTCGAAATTAGGCAGCGATACTGATATTGATTTCATCTCTCATTTCTTGCAAAGATATGTATACTGTGTGACAGCTTTGTGTGAAGGGAACGAACAACACGAGGTCTGATATCTGAATTGAAGGATAATCGATATAATGAAATTCAAGTTTAAAGTTTTATTAATTTTGATTTTGTAGTCACTGAACTGCTCTCCCGGTTCCATATCTTACGCAAAAGCTTATTCCGTGTTTTTTAACAACATATTTCATCAGAGCATCTAACTATATAATTTTTTATAAAACCTACTGCAAAACTATTTCCCCCTGGTATTTTCTGGAACACGATATTAATATTTGCCCCTAAGGTAAAATGTTAACACCGCAACCTCCTTAATTTGAGGAACAAATATATAGTTGTCACGCACTGAGCCTGTTGCTGTGGACTGAAATAGGGAGAGGTGTCATATGGGATTGGCCAGCTCCTAAGGGCGACACGTATTGTCGGAATAAGGCTAATTCGTAACTCCGACAGTGCTAAAAAGGAGTTATTGAAAGCCACTTTCAGTCGTACATCGATGGACGAAATGTACACGTGCATGCACGATACCATACAGTAAGTAACCTTGAATCGCTTTTTGATTTTAAAAAGTGTTAGAAATCGTGGGCGAAAAGAAAACAGCCTCTGGTTTCGAGTTGTCAAGGTCATCCATTTGCTACAAAACCGGTTTACCTTTCCGCAATTTTCAGGTTCGTGAATATCGATTACACCTGTTTGTACAGCATTCCCGCTTCAATTGATAACGTATTTTAGTCTTCCCTGTCAACTGAATGGGGCTTCACTCCACACATTGTTTGGTTCATAATCCGTCGACGTGGGACCTGCCCAATTTTGCATTCGGGAACTGTGTTTATTTTCGTTTTGATCGTTTTCACTGTCTGCGTCATAATTTGTATAAGATACATTGTACTTAGTGTTAAATCATCGTAAATATTATCGAGTGCGAGATCGCCATCTTTCTCAGAAAGGAAATTCTTGCGGACAATGCCAAAAATAAATGCTAAAACGGTTTCCAAAGGGGGGTTGGTTTGGGGAGGGACTACCCCAAATGTTGTAACGTTTATACTTTTATGTCTTTGGGAATGCAATCATAGTGAATTTTGAAAAGGTTTACGACTGACCAGATTTCCCAGAATAATTAAACTTTCCCCTTACATTCTTTCCATACCAGGTACATGATAGTTGAAATGAAACAGAAATTCAAACTGCCAAAGAAAATAATTTAGCTAAGGTAAGAGTATTTTTAGCGTCACGACTGGCATAAGTTGTTTGTAAACACAACGGTCAGTCGTTTGCGAGGTATATCTCCAAGCTTGGTTGTAGCCACCTACCACACTGGGGAGCTTTGGCTGGTGGCAGGGATAGAATAGAGAGCTCCGCGAACGGGCTATCGCTGAGGACGTTGAGTCGCTAGTAGGACAGGGTACATGTCTCGACTGCCGTGTTTTTTTATACCAAATATATTTTTGAAGAAACAAATTGCATAAAGGAGGAAGAATACTTAATCGTACGTTGAGTTAATTGAGTTTTAATTCATGTGACTGAACTAGCTTTTTGGCACCGATAAAGAGTAACGAAGGTGCCAGCGCTCGGAAGGAGGATGTTCTGTTAATGGTCAAAGGGAGACAATTCAATCAATAGTTTCATGCACTCGATCTCTGTGTTTTGTAATTAGCGGAATATATTCCGAGCGGACACGGGTGTTGTTTTATGAGCCGCGCACTGACGATTTAAGTTTCATTCGGGCCCACCCGGCTTTCCCCGAAACCTACACGCTACATCGATACGACTGATTGGATTTGAGAATCCTTACCGTTAATGGTCAAAGGGAAGTAACTATAAATCCTGTTTGCCATTTGCTTAACAGACTTACCTTCCCTTGATTTGTTGTACGCGATAAGCTCTCTTTGACTGAGGGCACACGCCGTGTGTGAAGTTTTAAGCGACACACTGTGCTGAGTTATGGAAAGGAAGTTAACTCTTCTACAAACACGATTATCTCCCTTTGACCATAAGCAAACCCACTACCGACTAACAGGTGGTCTTTTGCGATGTTTGTTTTGCCATATCCTTTTTGAGAAGGATTGCACAATTAAGGAGGAAGGATATTCAAACGATCACACTGAGTTTTACTTCACATAACTGAACCAGCTTAACAGAGCTTGAAATCACATTCAATTACTCAAGTTCGGGGCCTGAGAGCCAGGCGGGCAAGTTCAGAATGGAGGTGAGGTGACTCAGCTAGGTTTGATTGTGGGTCATACAAACCCATTCGTGTTGTGAATTCAATATGCGTCATATTACAGAAGTTTTACATTTGAGAGCTGACTTCAATACAAAACGTTGAAACCGCTGTACACGCGTATGTACGCAAAGTGTGCACATCCTGACTTTCACGTTTATAACCCAATAAACGCGAAAAACATTTTGAAGTAAATTCTTGTCAATAAGTACGACAACAATAATAATTCAAGGACTGCTTATCAAATCATTATATCCGTGAAGATCCGGGGTAGGATGGGTCTTCAGCAACCCATGCTTGCCGTAAAAGGCGACTATGTTTATCATTAGAGGAGGCTGAAGGGATCGGGTGGTCAGGCTCGCTGACTTGGTTGATGCATGGCATCGTATCCCAAATGCGTAGATCGATGTTCATGATGTCACTCACTGGTTTTTCTGGTCCAGACTCGATTATTTACAGACTACCGTCATATAGCTAGAATATTGCATTGTTAAACAACAAATACACAAGCGCAGACAAATAATTAATCATTAATATAAAAACAGCAGACAAAATTCGAAAACAGTGACATCTTCAGCGCAATAATGCCCCGTCTGTTCTATTATCAGCCAATAAGGAAACAGTACTACGTTACTGGGCGTGGCCTGATGGTTTTTTACCGGTTTACAGAAACAAACGCAAAAGAATTCCTTGGTTGCCAATCAAATGCCACGGAATCACATGAGATTTATATATTTACGCGAGGTCAGATACATCTATCGATACTGAAACTAAACATGTGCACTGTAAGGTTTCATAGTAAATAACAAGAAATGATGAAATTGTTCAACAAACGGAGTAAAGTAACAGTGAAATTGGTCTCTCGTCATTCTCGGCAATATTTCGACCATTTTCTGACGTCTATGATGTAATGACTTTTTTTTAATTTCTTAAACAATTGAAAAACACTCCACATTCAGTTATCTAGTCGTAAACACATACATGCATCTATCATTTATTTTTGTTCATAGTGGTAAAACACGCATTTTATAGGGCAAAAATTGACCATTTTTGTAATAACAAAAAATATCTCAACGAGACCAATGTGACCCGGGGGCAACAATGTAGTCACTCAATAACCGTTCTTATCATCATCATCATCATCATCATCATGTGACCTGGGGGCAACAATGTAGTCATTCAATAACCGTTCTTATCATCATCATCATCATCACCATCATCATCATCATCATCATCATCATCATGTGACCTGGGGGCAACAATGTAGTCATTCAATAACCGTTCTTATCATCATCATCATCATCATCATCATCATCATCATCATCATCATCACCATCATCATCATCATGTGACCTGGGGGCAACAATGTAGTCATTCAATAACCGTTCTTATCATCATCATCATCACCATCATCATTATCATCATCATCATGTGACCTGGGGGCAACAATGTAGTCACTCAATAACCGTTCCTATCATCATCATCATCATCATCATCATCATGTATGTTCATGAGTTAAATATATGTATAACGCACAGTTCATTTATCTTTAGTCTGCACGGTTTGCCGAGTCCTGCCGCAATTCGTTGTGCAGAGTTGCGTCGCTTCATCACAATATGATAGCGGTTTCGAATCCTGGATTGGCCCTGATAATGATTCCTGGTTTAGCAAACCCGTGCTTGTGGAGTGCCTACACCCCCGGGTACATTGTGACCGAGAATTGTGCGTGGGTTTATTCTTCGCCTAGATTCACACATTGTAACCAATGTGAGTGAATTCACCAAATCGATAACCTTATCACATATGTAATCCCAATGCAAGTTATCACTGCTTTTGACACAAGCGGCCATGATTTGTTCATATGCAGATTGTTTAAAAGATTAGGTAACTAACATTATCGTCCAGGGTGCCGTTGTACAAAACAACCTTAGCGATACGGCTGTCGTAAGTCTATGTCAAGTTATCGGAGTTACGATCGCTTTGTACAATGGGACCCAGATAAATGTCAGTGTCTGTGCTCTATCAATCCCCATTTATGCAATGTCATATGTCTCCATTATGATTAATACCCGTCTCTATTATGATTAATACCCAGGACCTATTTCTGGTGTCCTGGTATTGCTGGAATATTGCTAAAAGCGGCGTAAACTAACACTCACTCACTATATTCCACCAAACCCTCGTTTTGTAAGAGCCGTCATAATCTCAAAATCGGAACGGCTTTCCTCTCGCTCATGCCAGTTATAGGATTGGACGTTTATTTTTAACGTCATGCCACGAATCGGGTCAAGAAATGAAACACTGGTAGGCCATGGGGCCTGGGATGGCCCGGGTGGGGGTACATAGTGCCCTATGTTATATACTCTTTGATTTATGACACAAACACGTTTGGGGCATCAAACCTTTTTAGAGGACAAAAAGTAACCGAT